AGATCTGATCTCGGTGAAACCACAGAACCAACTGCAAAAAAAGAAAATCGAAAACATCGGTTTTATCCATATGTTCTATTCAATTCCGATAAAATATAAAGAGAAAGTGTCTGTTTGAAAAACATCATTCTGGCATTATTTTTCAAGCACATGTTTTCTAATACACTCTTTTGTTTCTTTAACAACAGATTGCAAATTCTTTTTTTCTTTTTTTTCTGCTTTTATTTTGAAACAATAGAAAAACAGATCTTAATATTTTGTTTCAAATAGTTCTATATTTCTTTTTTTCCTTACAGTTTCATTTTTTCTATATAACAACAATATTTGCATATACACCATAGTTTCTAATATTTGTTTTGAAAACATAAAAGCTCATTAAAAGAATAAGAGAAACGTATTGATAGCGGTGCTACCATGACCGATCTTGGTCCGTTGAAGGCGATATTATATTCAAGAAAAATAGATTCTTCAACACTAAAGCCATATACAAATATTCATCTTAATAATAGTGGTATGTTGTTGTCCGTATATTTCTTCTATGAAGTCATTCTATATAACTTGATAAATTTAGTAAAATTCTTTTTTCTGTGGCATAAATTAACAATTTTTCTCGCAGTTATACTATTGTTGTTTTAAGAAGTCCAACTCTCGAATTCTGATAAATAAAAAATAAAAGCCAAACAAACTTCAAAATAAAATAATAAAAAAGAAAACATCCATTGTAGGACTTCGTTAAATATTCATCCTATATTGTTCATGAATATATAAACAGTTTTAGAGTCAAAAATTTGTTTTTTTTGGGAAGAAGTTATACCCATGACATTAGGTAAGGATCCCTGCTCATATCTTTCGTCCCTCTTTTGCCTATTGGAGGAAGATATCTGAAGTTTAAGATAAAAAGTCATTTTCTATAGTAAAACTGATATTCTTTAACGTCAAATTTGATTTCACTCTTAGTTGATACATACGCTTAAGAGTTGTACTACACGTTTTCACATATGAGAAACTATTCGTTTATTCTGTAATTTTTAATGGAACCAGTTTATCTGTGTTAGTATCTTGCGATGAATCAATGAGTGAACTTCTGCCTTTCAAAATTCTTTCTCAGCGAACGTTCGAATAAAAGAATTTACTATTACGATTTAACTTTAATTATAGGCGACCTAATATTATCAACTCCCTCATTAGATTCTTACCGTGTTCTCAAAGATCCGTTGCACAAGTATGATTCGAATTATCATAATCTGCCAGAAGGCATAGATCATCGAATATTAGCTTATGATTCGCTTGAAAGTCAAAGATATGAAGCATTGCACATGAAACAACCTGTACCACGTTATGTGACAAGAGTATTTCAAGAAAGATGTAAGACAAGAAAAGTATTTAACTATTCTGCACGTGATAACTCCAGTTAACATTCTCGAGTGAAATCCCGCGAGACTATAGACTTTACAAAATTTGCCATTTTTCACAATTCGTACTTCCACGGGACTCTTTTATGCAAATTCATTCACCTTTTTTGTTCTGCATGCGCATATATTTTATATGAGCCACTGATTTGAACGAAAATTTTTCTAAATTTTTGCCGCTTCACTGATTTATTTCTAAAACGGTTGCAAAACTATATATTTCTGCTATTTTTTTATAAAAAGTCAACTTCAAAAATGGTACCACTTTTATTGCTTTCATGAAATCGTAGAGCATTTTAAAAAAAATTTGAAAATGTTGATTTACTCGTGCTCAGTAAATGGTTTTGACTGTATACAAAATCGATTTTCACAACAACGCGAAAAAGCACGTTCATTTTTCACTTATTTAAAAATAACGCTGGATTTTATAGAAAATTAGAAAATCGCTTGATTTAACTAGAAAACGTTCGATTTTCGAGAAAATAATAACTGATTTTTTATGAAATAGAGAATCAATACGATAATCTTTTCATTCACCATTTCTTTTTCCGTGCGCTTTCGTATATATCATATCTCTTGAAAGGAGGAAATCTCTTAGCAGAAAGTCAAGTCACAATATGAGATCCATCGAGAATCGAAGACGATTTCAGGTGGTCGTTCTATATTAAAGAATTTGCATAAACGATTACTATTTTTTAAACAACCAATTTCATTTTTGATTCTTAAAATATAGTTTCTTCAGCGACTTTCCAGTTTCGATTTAATAAAAAATCGACTGATTTTTCACAAAAACAAGAGTAATATTCCATCATACAGGGCAGTTCCACTTACTCTTGATAAAATGAGAGTAGGAGCTTTCAATCATGGTGACATTTTCATGAATTTCTGTACTAATCCCGCGGAATTTCACCGAGATTCTCGACTCGAGAATGCCATTCTTCTTCTTTTTAGAACATATAGATAAAACCGATGTTTTCGATTTTCTTTTTTTGCAGTTGGTTCTGTGGTTTCACCGAGATCAGATCC